AGGATTACATCATATATGCTACATAGCTGCTCTGGTTTTGAGTCGCCAGGCAAATGTGACCTACTTGTATGTTCCGGAACATAATCATCAAAATTTTGCAATCTTTACAAATAAAACAGACCCTAATTCTGACTTGAGTGCTAGAAATTCTAAGCCATCTGAATGGTGAGAACAGAAATATGCCCTTAAGCATCAGCTGCATACTTGTTAAAATCCAGTTTGACTCACACAAAAGTGTGCACATTAACAAGCCAGAGGACAATAAGGACTTTAATTTGAAATCAAGATCTTATTTCACTCATAGATCGCTAAATATCTTGATTATGTTCAAGGTCTACGAATACCAACGGATTCAGTTCTTTCATCAAAATCCTTCCAATCCAACCATAGTTAACCCTTTGCAATGCACTCCCTTTGCAATATACCTAAGGAGACATCACTAGATAACTAAAAAATACCTAAGAACTTTAGTGAATAATCTAGTACGAAGTACCGAAAAAAAAATCTGCCTATCCTACTTATTCCAATTCAGCATCTTTAGAGAAAAAGTTCGGAAGCAGAACAAAAGAGTTGCTGGCTCCTAAATCCTTTCTATGGCCAGCTAAACCATGAGGAAAATTTCTGTTCTCTACTTTGGTTTAATTTAAATCAGATATGACGTGCTATCTTTAATGGCATAAACTTGCAGGATATGTTTGTGTAAGAGGATTCGATCAGAAGACACGAGCACCCCGCCCTCTGATGGCCAGGCTACACTTCCCAGCCAGCAAGTTGAACAGGACGAAAGGTAAGACAGGCGAAGATGATAATTAGGTGATGTACATTTAGAATGGCTACTTCCAATCCCAAACCTCACAAAAGTCTACTGACCACACATGTGACTAGATTTGTGGGTGAAGGTGAAAACATGGTTCACTTGTATGACCCCATGGGGAATACCTTTCTTGGCCACTTCTTGGGCTAAAGTTCAAATATGATACCATGGGGGAGGGCATGTAACTTATAGTGTTTACCTACTTATTTTCCTGCTCAAATTTGAGCCATTCTTGTGAATCAGCTAGTAGCATGCATTGCTACAATTTTTTTTTTTTTCTTTTCTTCTATGCTTCTTTACAAAAATGCACAGAGCATGCTAGCTGTTCATGCAAAAGACGGTGAAAAGCGCAAAGCGTCATGAGATTTTAAAATATAAACTTGATGAGACACAAAGGTCTTGAGATTCCTGAGACGCCCAAGGAAACGAAATCTGTTTCTACGAAGCTGGTGATAATTAAAATGCATCAAAAAAGAAACAGGTAAACCAAATAAGTTACAACTCACAGTTGGCAGAAATGTTTGAGTTGAAGACTGTTTGGTGATTTTGGAAATAGAGGAATACGCCAAAGAAATGTATGGTTCAAAGAAAATTTCCAGCTGATAAATGTCTTGTGAGTAAAAGAATTTTGCAGCATGATGTTAGTTTAGTTCCTCTATAAATACAAATATAAAAAGTCAAGACACATGACTGGCCTCTGGGCCAAACTGCAAAATTCAAGTCATGAACAGAGCTAAATTGGACGTCTGCTAATTGAAGTCAACTATAGACCACTTTTCATGGTGGCTATTATTTTTATTTGTTACGTGAGATTGTAGGTTCAAGTCATGAGTTGTATGTTTTTTGTGTGTCTTCCTTAAAACATTTAATTAATAAAATTATTACTTTATAATTATATTTAAAAAAAAAAAAAAGTATGGCAATATAATATAGCATTATTAATGTTCTCTACATCAAATAATTATAATTATAATTATAAATTATAATACAGATAGATACTTAAAACAAATGGAATTTAACTATAAATATTAGATCAAGTCCACCAAAATAACTCATTTGTTTACATATAGTCTATTACATATTAAAAAGACCTCTATACTTGACCCACAAGATCATTTACAAGTAGTCTACAACCTTATCAAACAGGAAGATTAAAGAATATTAAGGACATGAATTTCAAAACTTTCAAAATCACTACAAACAAAATGAATATTTTATCTATCTTTCAATACATTTTTAGGTTAGACTATGTGGAGAATGCACTCCATCATCCAAAGATATGTATCTCCGACCAATAAGACCTATAAATTTATCGTTAAACAACAATAAGGGGCACTTATCCATCAAATTCGATCCATCATAAGCCTCTTTAAGGAACACAGTGCTTCTTGCACCTTTGTTTGTAATGTAAAAAATACCATGATGCTTTATCATGCAAAGTAGTAACTTAGATGGCAAGAAATACTCAGAACGAAAAGCATCGATTTGTGCAGATGTCAGTCTCTTCTCCATTGATAAACTGAGGAGCTCGTGGAGTACAGCGACAACTCGTTTGCGAGCTCTTGGATCTGCAGTGTCAAATCTTCGGGCGTTCAAGTAGGGAGAGGGAAATTCCAATCTTTGCCATTTCTCGAGTTCATCAAGATAACTCATGTTCGGTCTAAACCCAGATGGAAAACACACTTTGAATGCGAAACGCCCCAGAAAGTTACCATCTTTGGATATCTTAACTTTCTTTCCGCTGCAACCGGTTTGAAATTCTCCTAGTCGCGCTAATCTCTCCTCGCGCGCCGTTACTGCAAGTGATGAATCCCAGTTCTCCAGATGAAGATAAGCTCTGCCATTTAAATCTTTAACGGAGAAATATTCTGGGTATTTGGGGATTAATGCGTTCTTGAAATCTTGAGGCAAACCCAATTCGGATTGTATGAATTCGATTTTTTCCAGCGGTACTCGACAATCAACAGACATCATTAACAGCTTCCTCAGATTCCTGACCAACATAGATTCCATTAATTTTCTCACTTCAGCTTCTTCACCTGCTATCTTCTTGGCCTTTTCGGTAAGTGAAACAAAAGGAAGCTCTCTTTTGCCACCCCCAACGTGAAATATAGAAGGATACTTCTCCATGATTGCCATGAAATTCCATTTCTGAACAAACCCAACTTGTTTTTCAAGGTCCCTGAGAAGAAGATATTGGTGCTTCTGTGATTGAATGATAGACTTCAACTGTAAGATTAAGGATGGCTTTTTACCTGAGTCCATCACTTTGTCAAGTTCGTAGACCCTGTGGTAGATTTTCTTCTTGGGTCTCCTTCCTCCACTCGATTTTTGTTTGAAAAGAATCCATCTAGATCCTGATTTCACAAATGGGATATGAGCGAACACATCAAAATTACCAGTCTTCCGCATAAGAGACAATAATTGCATTGTTTCATTCAAACAAAATGTCGAATAGTTTGTATGCAATATTCTATAACCTAACAAAATTCCCGAAAAACACAGTCACCAATTCTGGAGCGCGAATAAGAGAGCTTCACATGGTCAAAATACGACTAGCTCGTTGCATCTTCTTCGTCGTCGAAAGATTCGCAACAGTTCACTTAGTTCTTTCACGGTCGATTTTTTGGATTAAAAAAAAAAAAAAAGAAACCCTAACAGTAACATAAATAGTTTCCCTTCTCGAACAATTTAAAACGACGCAGTATCGTCATAAGCGCACATAACTAGTTTCCCTCCTTGAATCATTTAAAACGACGCAGCATCGTCGTAAGCTTACATAAAAAAAAATTTGCCTTCGTTGAATAATTTAAAACGACGCAGTATCGTCAAAAGCTTATTAATGCGACTACGTTAAGAATAGATGTGGTGGGTTGAAATGATGACAAAATTAGCCGGCCAACTCCTCCAATTTGAATAAAAATAAAACGAACACATCAATCTCTTTCTGTTTACAGCTTATACGATTCATCGAACTTTGCCTCCTTTTTTTTAATTCATAATTAATAGTCCCTTTTTCTTTTCTTTTCTTTTCTTTTCTTTTTTTAATTTTAAATAACCATCCCTGCTTGGGATTGACATCTTTTCAACCCAGGCACTCTTTATTATTTTAATTAATGTTTTATTTTTAAAAAAATAATAATATTATTATTCATAAGGGTATTTATTTGTGAATTATGAATTTCATACTCTCAGATTTATACGAGTATATTAATCTTTTTTAGATCAAGGAAATATATGTATACAATATATCCACCGCCAAATAAATAAATACAATATGGCTTATTTTAAAATTTTAAATAATAAATTATTCAAATAATTAGATTATTATTTTAAATGGAAAAAAAAACAATATTATTTTAAAAATAATGAAATTGACATATATCAATTTTAAAAACAAACATAATTTTGAAGAGATTTAGAGGACACAAACATGCTGTGGACATACATCCACTCGAAAAAAAAATTTCTTTTTTTTTTCCTGATATATTTTAATAAATTTTAAATTAATTGTAATAAATTATTAATTTTAGTTCATGAATTACGAAATTTTTTATATTAAAATTTTGTTTTATTAGAAATTTGTGCTTGAATAAAGTTGAGTAGGAGCTGATCAATTTTGTGCCAACCCACTTCAGCAATTTACATCAAACTTCACATATTTGAGTTTGGGATGATAAGGTTAAAAGAAATTTGATGAGTAGTAATAAATATTTAAATAATTTAGTCCAAAAATAGAGTTGGACGTGCTCAAAATGATTCTTATAAAATATTAATAATTATAACATAGTCTCAATAAATATATCATATTAAATGATGTATGGATATATTTATCACTCGTATTAATAATAATATTATTATTTAAGTTAGTTAATGCCTCAATTTTGTGATTGAATTAATATTCATACTTCTAACAAAATTTAATTTAGTCTCTCTCTTTCTTAACTATTACTTTCATTAAATTTGATGTTGCGTTTAAATTTGACAATATATGATACTTATTGATGAGACTGTGTATAAATAAATATCATATTAGATATCACGTATTACTATTAAGTTGTTAATATAATGTCATATGATTATTAAAGTTAAATGAATATCACCTTCTTATTTGTATTTTTGCAAATGAATATCACGTCATATGTCATGCGGTATATGACGTGATATTTAAAACAAAAAATAAATGTGAATTAGTTTAAATCAATCCATAATTTTTAAAAAATAATTCAGAAGTGATATTTAATATAACATTTAAAACAACAAAATAAATATAAATCAGTTCAAACAGTTAACATAATAAAATAAAATAACATGTAATTTGAACAAAATATCATAAAATCATTATTTTTTCCTCACTGCCCCACATATACATATGTAGATATCCTTATGAGTTGACTAAAAGTATATATTGGATCTTGTCCTTTCATGATCTCTTATTTAACTTATATTAATGCGTGCTTCCGATAAATTTGATTTGAGTTATCAACAAACTTTACACATAAGCTTATGTAATATTCATTCATAAGAATGGAACATAGCTTATTCAACGATATTAAAGTGATGGCAAATATATATGTAGATTCAAATCACTGAAGAAGATAACGTAATTGCCTTACATCATGGTTGTCCAAAATACCACAGTGTTGTCTTCGACAATTATCATATTGTTGTTCAAATAGCTTTGTGTATAGTTTAACCATCGAGATAAGCTAATTGGGTTGGTGATTCATAAAATTTTAGATGAATTAATGTAAAAAAACATGAGAATACGTTGAGTATGCCCGATTCTGACCAAATTAAATGAGAAATTATCAATAGAGTCCAACATAAGATATTAAAATGGAGAGTCTAATGAGTCTGGTGTAGCCTTGAAGTTGCTGAAAAACTCGAGGGTGGCGGTGGTTACTTCAGTGCATGATCACAGTTATTTATAGGTATGAGAATGACTACGATTATTCTTATTATTTTTTAAAATTGTGAATTGATTGAAATAAATTTATATTTATTTTTTTAAAAAATATTATACTAAATATCACGAGACATTAGACGTAACGATAGTAAGAATTAGTAATAAAAATAAATTAAATAATTTTTTTTCATAAATATAGGGATTAATATAATCAGAAATTAAATTGAGACTAGTTTTATATTTTAATAATTAGTTTTAAAATTTCATAATTTGAAACAACTATTTAAAAATATAATATTTTTTTAAATACAATATAATAAAATATTAATCCTATTTCACCTCCATGAAAATATATATAAAATAAAAAAGAGTAAAAAGGAAGAAAGTGGGAGTTGCGGTGCATGGAGTCATAAATAATCAACAAAGGCTGTTACGTGTAAATTCAGGTTTTCCTTCACCGGGAAATGAATCAGCCAATACGCCTTCAAGGAGTGCAAAAAATCTCCAACCCATTCATCCAATCAACCCCTGAATAAAAAAAAAAAGTAAATACAAAAATCATTTTATTAATCATTTAAAATACAAATATAAACTAAACATGCAGAAAATTACAATTTCGCACTCATAAACCCCACG